ACAGGGGAGAGCGCAAGCTGCCTAAATTGGAGACAGTGACCTTTACTTGAATAACTGTATGTATGCATACACACACACACACACACACACACACACACACACACACACATAGTGGAGAATATTCTTAATAAAGCTTGACACATTTTTTAATATATTGTGATATTTTGAAAGCAATATGCATCTATTGTTATGACATTTTTCTGTCCCTCAAGCTCATTAAGATGGGATCTTACCTGTTTACTATATAATATTCAATAGGCCTGTCTCTGTTATTTCTCTGGCACTTAAAAGTAATTCATGCAATGTAGAGAGTCTATAAAATAAGTTGTTATCTATAGACTGTAATTCTAACTAAGGATTTTTTGATACATTAGTAGTAAGTCTAATACTTGCCTTATTCTCTGAGGTTGCTCTTTATTAAGAAAGCATACTGTGGTTTTAAAGTACATGAATGAAATAATTTATACCAGTAGCAGTTAATGAAAAATAAATATTTACAAAGACAAGTGTCATGCAAAGGAAAAAATGACATTCTCCTCCAAATATGATAGAGTGAAAAGAGAATGAAATAGAAATTCAAATAGAAAATTCATTCCTTTACACAGGGGGAAAGCCGACTTTTACATCAACATGGATGGGAGTGGAGGAGATTATGCTAAGTGAAATAAGTCAAGCAGAGAAAGTCAATTATCATATGGTTTCACTTATTTGTGGAACATAAGGTATAGCATGGAGGACACTGGAGAAGGAAGAGAAAAATGAAGGGGGGGGGAAATCGGATGGGGAGATGAACCATGAGAGAATATGGACTCCGAGAAACGAACTGAGGGTTTTAGGGGGGAGAAGGTGGTGGGGCTGGGTTAGCCCAGTGATGGGTATTAAGGAGGACATGTACTGCATGGAGCACTGGGTGTTATATGAAAACAATGAATCGTGGATCACTACATCAAAAACTACTGATGTATTTTATGGTGACTAACATAACATAATAAAATTAAATTAAATTTAAAAAATAATTAAAAAAATAAATAAAAGCAAGTGTCATGAGAAACAATCACTCTTATACATTATCTGATAAATTATGAGTTAATTTATATGCGAGTGATTTAAAATGTTAGAAATATAATAGATATCATTTTAGATATTGCCACCAAATACAAAATTATTCAAAGTTTAGACTGAAGGTTACTGACCATGAAGAAATAATTTAGACACAGAGTATAAATACTAATGGATAAAACATCTAAGGAAAACAAACCATTCCCATCTCTTCTGTAGTTCTCACACAACTATTAATTGCAAGGGCTTTAGCCTGAGGGAGACCTGGGTTGGGTTTTGCCTACTCTGACTTCTAAGACTTTGTTTCCTCCTTTGTCATATGAAGATCTTGAAATAATAATACCCACCTCATAAGATTTGTATAAGGTTAAATGAAATACTTAAACCTCATTTGCAAGGTAAGAACTCAAAACAATTGAGTGGAATATTGATGATAAATAAATATAATCAGTCTTACAAGTGACCTGTGGAGATCACCACTACTCAACATGTTAGCCTCACTTAAATTCTATTACACTTAAAAAGACCTCAATTAAATTACTTTAAAATCACTTGCAATTCAAGTACACCATGAGTTGAAGAAAACTTTGACGTTAATTAGACTGAATTGATGGTACTTTTCCTGCATCTGGATCATCCCTAAAAAAACAAACTATGTGAAATGTAACCATATGTGCAATAAAGAATAAGAATAGGAAACTAATTGTTTTTGCATTTTCTTTTCTTTTTTTTTTATGGAAAAAGAAGTCAGCATTTTACCAAAGGCCCCAGAAAGAGGAATTAGTCATACAATTTCTCGTTATTTAATAAAACCATTATAATCATCCCAGGTACACTGGAAATCCAATAGATAAAACAGATACATTGAAAGCTAACAACTTGGTAAGTCTGCTTACACTTCAACCAGTTCTATGACCAGCTCTTCTCTAATTTCTACAAGAAAGTGTCTTGTGCATTTACTATTGTAATTGTTCACTGTCTCCCCCATTATAAGCTGCAGAAATGGGAAACTTATAAGGTTCATCCCTCACCCCAGTGACTCCTCAGTGAGTAGACATGGTAGACACTCAGTAAATATTTATTGAATCAATGAACAAAAGTGGGAAACTGAATAATAGAGCTAGCTAGAAAATTCTGACTAAGTTTTCTACTAGTTGTGATTCATAGATTATATACTATGAATCCCCCAGAGATACGGATTTTGAGCAGTCTGTGCTAATCTGTCAAGGATATTCTCATATATCACAATACTTTTTTCCCTGGCTCTCATCTAAGTCTTCTCTTTTTTCCTCTGTGGTGCAGGAGTTGGTAAACTATGGATCCCTGTTTTCTAATCGAATCTAAGAATTTCTACAGTCAATGACACACCAAGACCCAGCAGGTATATCCTGCGAAGATGCGTACTTCCTTCAAAGTTCGAACAGAGGTGGTGAAATACTGAAAAGACTTCTCAGATTTGCTTTTGAGTTTCCCATGGTAGAGAAAGAGAGAAGAATATAGTAAAAGATTAATTAATTAATTGAGCGAAAGCTATCCAAGATACCTTAAGATAAGGTATCTTGTAGTTCAGGCAATATGAATATTAGAATTTCTAGAAGAAAATATTAATGTCATTCTACTTTTAAAATCACAACATACTGTATTTAAAATAGATTGTTCACAGGAGACCAACACTTATAGCTAAGGTGGACTTCTGCTCTAAAATTTCATTTTTTTCTTCTCAAAATGAATGTATCAGACATGACTTAGTAAATATAATAACTGTAGTGAAATATTTAGAAATGTGATTTCCCTATGATTTGGCACCACAGAACTAGGTTTCACATTCCACCATGAAATTACCCTTGATAGTCTTCCAAAAGACATGGACATATTTGAGGTCTCACAAAGAAAAATTCAAATGTCATGTTGTAAGAGAAAGTTAAAAATAAAGCTTCTCACTCAAGAAACCTAATGTAATCAAAGTCAAGAATCTTATCTGAATCAGAGTTCGTATTTGGTCTAGTCTATACTAAATCTATTTGATGACTCAGTGTTAACTTTGAATGACTCAAATGCTCTCAAAAAGTTTAGGGCAAATGTTAACCCACTTTAATTAAGTCTGATAACTTATTGAAGAATAATTTGAAATAAACTCTAACTATGGAGCTTGAAGCAGCCCCTCCAGAATTATTCCAATTGCTACCAAATTAACCACCCCCAGGGAGGGCTGAGAGGAAGTACCAGCCCCTCCCCATCTTCTTTTTTTTTTTAAAGATTTTATTTATTTATTTGAGAGACAGAGAGAATGAGAGAGAAAGCACATGAGACGGGGGGAGGGTCAGAGGGAGAAGCAGACTCCCTGCTGAGCAGGGAGCCCGATGCGGGACTCGATCCAGGGACTCCAGGATCATGACCTGAGCCGAAGGCAGTCGCTTAACCAACTGAGCCACCCAGGCGCCCTCCCCATCTTCTTGTAAATGAGTCTCCATCAGAGGCACTTTGGTGACAGGTAGGAGTAGGTGAAAAAGAAAGATGAAAAAGCAAAAATTCACAGCTATTTTTTCCTGGGTCTGGCTCTTGTAGCACGTATTAGTCACAAAAAGTACTGAAACATCTTTAGGGAACTTTCGTTTCTTGTATTCAACTTCAGAATCAAGGAACTCCACTAAATCATGGCACTTCTACTCTTCCCAAGATAGGAAGGAGGAAGAGAAAGGGGGAGGCATAGATGAAGGTAAAAGCAAAGGAAAATAAGAGGAAGAAAGGGAAAAACTATTATTTACTCCTGTATGTCAGGACTATATCAAGGGCCTTTCATACATTAACCAATATGAATTATACATCAGGCAATTATTAGTTTCCCAATTTTATAGATGAAAAAACTAAGGCATAGAGAGGTTAAGTTATTTTATGAGGATCAGATAGCAAACAGACACGTTATGATTTAACCTTGGGTACAGGCTACTAAATGTCTCTACTCCTTTAAGTATTACTCCACATGTTTTTCAATAAAGACAAAAGAGTGAAAGCTTCTAGAAAAATACTCTAAGCAGTGTTCCTATCCATACCCTCTAAACATCATTTCCTAAATGTGATAAAATTCAGTGATTTCATCCAGTTTATTATTTGCCTTAGGGAGATCCAAATAAGACAGAAATACATAAATTGGAAAGAAGATATGTCACAAAATATGCAATTAAAAACTATGTATTCTTGATGATGATGATGATGAAAAGAGCATATTAGAAAATATAAGGTATAACTTAAAAGAAATTTACTGTTTTGTTTTAAACTAAAAACCAAACACTTGCTTAGGAGAAAATCTTGTTTCTATTGAAGATATTCGATCAGAAGCAGAAGTTGGCCACATGATGGATTATGAGGTGAATAAAGAGTGGAAACAGGGTGGGGCTACGTGTGTGCGCCAAGGACATTCAGAGCCAGCTCCACGTAACTAACTGAATCAAGTGTGTGAGTCTGTATCTACAAATCTATTAATCTATTTTTGCTCATAAGTGGAAACTGGTTTATTTGACAATAATTTAAATGAAAAAGAAAGCAACAAACTAGTCAAAACCAGCTAACCTGGCCATCCTGTTGGAAATTGACAAATCTTAATGTTTCAAGTATATGAGTTGACTCCTTTATAAGAACAATAAACCTTTACAAAAATGAAAGTGTCATCTAAGCTTTGATAATTAGAAAGACAGAAAGCAGGTGTTGGAGTTCCATTTTATTTAGCCAAACTAATCAAACTAGACCTCACTTAAGAAGGAATTTATTCAATAAACTTACCTGACATAACCTCATTTTCCACATCTGGGTGGAAGATCCTACCCCTTTCCACTTATGAAAAATATCAGCTAATTCAATTTTAATGACTGTATAACTGAGTTCCCTCCAAAGCATACACATGTACCCATTTAAAAAGCAGTATGTATCATTTTGAAGGGACTTACATATTTGGTTTCTCGACCAGCTGCTCTCGGAAGAGTTGTAGGCATCTGTTTGAAAAGAAAAATAATTATACTACTGAAGTAACCACAAAAATAGTGAAAGATTTGACTTCTGGGATAAGTGTTCACCTTTTTTTTTTTTGCTATTAAGACTTTCTGACCATTCCGCTCTCTCTTCTGTACAAAGCCCCTGTCCTTTTGAAAATTATTTCATTAAACTACATCATTTCATTATTCTTTTCATTGCCATTATCTATCAACTTTCTGGTAAATTTTCCCGTATTTACTGATGACATCCATTTGTTGATCATAATGGCCCCTTATGTGATTTTTGCCATTGTCAAAATTCACATGGAATTCTCTATACTCTCACTTCTTTAAGCCACTCATCTCCAAAGGTGTTTTCATCCATTCCATTTCACTCATCTACTCTCAGGATCATTCCTAGATTTTTGCTTTCATAAATAAAATGGGAAATCTGTGACATTTCAATTCTGGGCATCCTACTCTAAGAACTCTATTTCCCATTCACTTCTCAAATGTCCCCAGTACAACATTCCTTTAGCATCATTGAGACTTCAAAATCAGTGAGTTTTACCAGGTCAATTGTGGTGTTATTACCTCTTAGTTCACATATATTTCATATTCTTAATTGTTTTAACATCTTAATTTCTCTTGCCTCCCTCTCTCCATATGACAAACTCACCTTAAAAAAAAAATAAAAGAAGAGAAAAGAAAACAACAGCTCTGGATGGACCTTATCATCTATTTTCTCTAAACCTGAAAAGCAAAACATTGTGGGGAAACTCTCTCAACCAAGCTAATTGATTTCATTATAAATTAATGGTCATCAACTTCAAATGAGTATTCAATACTACACTGTGATCCCCTAATTTTTCTCTTGTAAGCCCACTCTCCCACCTTCTGAAATGAGATGGGTTATTTGATTCATTCATCTCCTCAGCAAATACTTACTGTATATCTACAGTGTGCGAGGAATTTTCTACACCCTTCAGTTTAACACTAAACAAAACAGACAAAGAAAGATGCCCTGTCCTTGGGGAGCTTACATTCTAGCAGGAGAGAATATAAACAATAAAATAATAAATAAGTAAATTATAATGTATGTTGGAAGTAAATCATACCATATATTATACCATGTGTTATGCAACAAAAAAGAATACAAATAATTTAAAGCCTTCGGTAATATATTCTTTTAGAGAAAATCTTTGCTTCTGCCACATAGCTTATTTCTTTTAGACAACCCAGGTGTTAAGAAAGTCAAGAGTGCTGAGGGCTTACAATTTCAAGTAGGATGGTCAATCTACAGAAGGTGATGTTTGGGCTAAGATTTGAAAGTGAGGGAGCTGGACATGTACATATCTAAACAAAGAGCATTTCAACAAGGTGGAACAAATGTAAAGTTCTCAAAGTGGATTTCCACCTCTGAGAATGGTTGTTCAAGGACTCAAAGCAATCCTTTCAAAAGAAACAAAAAGTTGGGTAAAATATTTAAAACAATATTGACATATTATTTATTAAAAACATCAATGAGCTAATAAGCAAAAAAAGAATTTGGGACCAAGATCAGGAGAAGATGGGAATCCAAAGACATGAATCAAGCACCTGAGACTGGCTTTTATCCTAAAGATGTTTGCAAACATTGTTGAGTTGCTTGAGAAGTTGATCCAAACTTTTGACGGTCTCAAAGGTGTAGGGAGATAAAAGTCAGAATCCATGACCCACCAAGAATAGACTGAGCCTCAGGACTAAGACCAATCTAGAAGACCTCACATAGTCCTCAGGCTTGCCTCAAATCATTGAAAACAATTGTTTGGAAAAAAAATCATCCCCAAACCTTAAATTAAGTAATCCTTCCTTTCTAATGCTCCCGGTGTCTGACAGAAGCAAAGAAAAGGCTCTCTGTGGTAAGATAATATCATCTGAGCCCTCAAATAGTTTCTATAAATAAACTTTTGAGTAAAATATCCAACACACATTCAGATTCAGACACACAAAGAGGTAAGACAATGTGAGTGAAAATGAGCAAAAATAACGAACAATCAAAAAACACGCACAGAGAATCCAGAAATTTGTTTTCTTAGAACCAGACCAAAAACAACACACTTACCCATGCTTTTTCTGAGATAAAAGTTAAGCTTGCAATTTTTTACAAGGAACTAGAAACTATAAAAAGTGATATAACTGATTTGAAAACAGGACAAAATGTGCTGAGGCAAGAACATGACTGGCACATTCGAGGCACAGCAAGGAAGCAGGTAGAGCAGGGGAGCTGTGACGGAAGGGCTGGGAGACCAGATCATAGAAGCCCTTCCAGGAGCTTGTAAGGACTCTGATTTATATCTAAAGGAAATGTGTAAGCACTGCTGGTTTTCAGCCATGGGGGGGCCATAATCTGACTTATGCTTGAAAAAGGATCTCTCTCTTTGATGTGTTAAAAATGAATCATAGTGAGGCAGGGTTGAGGACAAAAACTATTGCACTATCCAGCAAAACATGAGGATGGCTCAGCAGTTCAGAAAGCATGAAATAATCATATTCTACATATATTTTAAATCTACAGCAATAGGGTTTCTAATAGAGATGTAGAATATGAGAGAAAGAGAATAAAACTTGACACAAAAGTTTCTGGCCTTGTGCAAATGAAAGATAAGAATTGATAGATGGAGATGGGAAGGCAGGATATGAAATAGTGTTTGTGGGAAGAAATCTAGACTTTAATTTTTCAGATATTTATTAGGAACCTAAATGGAAACAGAGAATAGATATTTGGGAGAAGGGAATTTGGGGGATAATCCTGGACTAGAGATGCAAATTTGAGAGTTGTCAGCATACACTTGCTGTTCAAAACACAAAAGGCGTGAATATAGAGAGGAATGTGAAGCCCAAGGATTGAGTCCAGCAGCACTCTAGCATTCATAGTTTGGGAAGAAGAGGATGAGCCAGCAAAGGAACCTAAGAAATAATAATGGCAAGTGATGTAGGACAAAAGCTGAGAGAGCACAGTGTCCTGGAAGGCACCAGAGGAACGTGTGCCAAATAGGAGGGAGTGACACCTATCTCTAATTCTGCAGATAATTCTGCAGATATGTCAGCTCTGACCAGGGCTGAGTTTAGAGCAATGGGAACCTGGGGAAAGTGGTGTGGGCAGCACAGTGGGGACAAAAACCTGAATGGAAGGGATTTATGAGGGAATGAAGGAAGAACTGAAAGCAGAACACATAATGGTTTTCAACTTTTTCTTTACCAATCTCTTCCCCATCATAAGGTTGCTCTTTAATCTCAGTTAATAATCTTAAACCTTTTTTCACTGAAAGGTGTTAGCAACTGAATAACTAAAAATATGAGTTATACAATTCTTCATTTTCCCCCCATCCACCTACAAAGACGTTTGCACTGTACCTGACATTTCCTCTGTTTTCTGTCCTGTTAGAATGGCAGACATTTCCAGCTTTTAATCAAAGGACTCTTACTTGAATTAGGCTGTAGGTTCTATGTCATTTGAGGGATTTTCATCCCTCAGGAACTCCCTTTCTTTTGTATAATCAGTACCTCCCCTCTAATGAATCTACCCCATGCCAACATGCTCTTGTCATTTTCACCTTTAAAAAGCAAACCAAAAATTCTTCCTTGACCCTACTTCAGACCCAATTTCCTTCTCCCTTTCACAGCCCAACATTTCCAAGTAGTTGTTTCTGTCTGTTTGTTTTACATACTCTGCCTCTGCTTTCTCACCACATGCCACTTTTCAACATCAGAGTTATAAGGACAGCAGAGGTGTGATGTGAGGGAGCAAAATTTGAGGATGGTGAAAAGTATCTCTGAGGATGATATCAAGATGGCCCTTCAGCCTGGCTGGGGGGAAAAGGGGAGAGTTAAGCATAGGTTTGGACAACTGGACAGTTCTTGATGCCTTCCTTGAGGATGACAATGGAAACAGCTATTTGAAGAGGAGTGTGGAGTGCCATAAGCAAAGGTTCAGGGAGGCAAAGATGAGGGATACTGTCACCAAGGGGGGGATGGTTGACATTACAGATTTCTACAGCCTGACACACAAGTTCTTTCTGTTCTTCATAAAACAAAAACAAAAACAAAAGACAAAACTTGGCAGAACTGGCAAATCCTAGGCACTAGGCTTTCGTGTCTTCCACGTCAGGCATCAGGCACACATACAGCCAAGCTAGCCTACATGCTCCAAGAACTTTGAGTTTCCATGGAAAACTAATAACACATCTGAAAAATGTTAATGCTGTAGGAGAAAAACAATGGTGCAGTCATTCCTCTCCTAAGTTTTTACACAAGAGAAACATGTCCATACAAAATCTTGTTTATAAGTGTTCTTAGCAGCTCTATTAGTAATAGCACCTAAGTAGAAATAACCCAATTGTCCATCAGCTGGTGAATAGTTAACATATGGTACAACCATATGACAGAATACTACTCAGCAATGAAAACAAATTAAGTATTGATACATGCAAAAACATGGAGGAATCTCAACTGCCTTCTACTATGTATAAACAGCCAGACTCAAAAGACTACATACTGTATGATTCTATTTATATGGCATTCTTGAAAAGGTAAAAGTACAGAAACAGAGTAAAGGTTAGTAGCTGTCCAGCACTTGGGTTGGAGGGAGGGACATACTCTAAAGGAGCACAAGGGAACTTTTTCATCTGATGGAAGTGTTTTGTACTTCAGACGTGGTAGTGGTTAAACAACTGTATTATGCTTTGCGAAAACCCATAGAAGTGTACACTGAAAGGGTAAATTTAACAGTGGGTAAACCATACCTCAATAAACATGACTTTATTTTTTTATTACATTAGTCACCATACAGTGCATGACTTTAAAAAGAACTGTATCCGACATAATAAATAACATAGAAATTGAAGCACAGAATACATACTGAGCAAATTCTTGAACTGAAATATCAAATCAAGGAATCCCCTTGAAGGAATTAGGAAGCAATAAATAGAAAAATATATATAAAGATTAAGGCTTATGGAAAACAGAAACAAAAGTGACAA